ATAAAGCAGCATCAAAAAAAAAAAAACCTCACATCCTTCAAATATGTATTTTAAATGACTTGTTACAGAAGACTTTGACTTAAATGTGAAAACTGTCAAGAACATCTCATCTGCTAACCTTGTAACAGCCACTAGGTCACCTGTGACCATTTAGGGTTAGGATTTAACAGGTTTCTTTATGTTTTCAACACATGCATGAAAAATATTTTAATATTCAAATTCCAGAATGTAACCGACTGTATTTGAAGTGTAGTCTTTGAGTTTCTGAAAAACGGTCTATTTAGCATGAGGACAAAACGTCTTCTTTCTTCAACTGTACTAACATGGTTCTACTCACTAGAGGGCAGCAGAAGTCTGGATATTGGGAACTGATCTGCTGTGACTGTACTATGAGCACAGATACACAGGCACTAATAATCTACATACATGTCAACAGCCCACATTTCTGCTTCTCAGTCTTCTATGTGGACCCAACTTTATTATCTTCAGACAAGAATTTCTGTTGTCCTGCTGCAAACAAGTGATTCTTATATGCTGCAGCAAATTCCTTTAGTGGAAACAAGGAGCCGTGCCAAAACCACAAAAAATACAAACAGCCACAGACCATAAACCATACAAAAACTCTTTTGAGAATGAAAGACGGCAATAGACTTAAAGTCTTAGAGAGAGATGCAACAGCACACTGTGCATACATTCAGCCTGTAAAACATTGAATAAATCATTGAGAGGAAGCACAGCTCATACAGTAGATGAGAAGATGGTGTTACCTTTTGTTTTGCCTGTCACAAGCCTCTTGCTAGTTAAACAGTATACTGTAATGTATGAAAAATATTCAGCTTTGCATCAAAAGCTAAATCTCACCTAAGTCTCAGATTGGCTGACAATGACAGTCTTCAGGAGTGGAGGTCAGAGGTCTCTGATATTTTCCCATTTGGTTCACACAGTTTCACTGAAGCATGTGGACAACAACAAAGAAGAGTGCTGACGAGTGAGCTGCTTACACCCACTCATACGATCTACCACCCACTGAACTGCCTCAGCATCCCGACACAGATCTATACTAAACTCAGCAGTTTACACAAAACATTTACATTAGAGACAGATTAACGCTCCAAGGAAGGCACACACAACGCACTTGTTCTTTTTTCAGTGTTAAGGGAAAGATACATTTGTGTGTGCAGAAGGAGAAACCTGTGGCATAACTTAGTCTGGGAATCTCTGACAAGGCTAGCTGTTACTTTTTTTGGCAATGTAGGACCAGCATGACTAAGGCATTAAAAAAAAAAACCCAACTGATTAAAATATCAATGCAATAGCACTTCAGTGTGAACCGTTATTGCCAAAACATCGAGCACTCAAACATTAACAAGAGAATAAATCCAGTCTGGACCATACCTGCATGAAACATTTGGGTCATCAGCCCTTAAATGGGCCACTTTTCAAGACACGGCTGCTTAAAGGAATACTAGAATTAACTATTTGTGGAGTTGTGAGGTGCACATGGTTTGTTTAAGGATGCAGTCTAGCTGATGATGCCTCTAGTAAGATTGTGACTCTTTTACACCAAATACTCATACATTGCAAGTTAGCATGCTGGAAGCCAGTCAGCAGAGGTTCCACAGAGTTATTACAAGCAGGAATTTAAAGTGAAATCCACTCATGGTGTTAGAAGCACAACTTCCAGGGAAAAGTCAGCAAACCTTTTAAGCTGTATTTAACATTCACTTTGTATGTCCAGTTTTACGCCCACGTGAGCCTTGAAATTCAAGCTGGTTTACATAAAATTTTAAAATACCTTCACAAATAAGTGCTGGAGAGGTTTCATGAAGTCTATCAAGTCGCTTACTTTTACGCTTTATTTTAAGTGTGGGATTTTATTCCCCCCCCTGCCCCTCTCTTTCTTTAAATGACTAAGCATACAAAATGAAACAAAAGCAGTTACACTTTTCCAGCTGCAGCAGATCTCCAAGCTGTAGGTGTCAGCCTGAGAAGGACAGTGAAATGATGCAGGGCGAGCACAAACACGATGTTTTGTGGCAATAAAGCAGAAGGAAGCTTGTTTTTCATACAGGAAAGATGACAAAAAAGGAAGTGAAATATTCAACTATGACCTCAGTTAGCTGTCCATTATATCAGTGCATTAAAGCCATATTAAAGCAAACGCTTTCATAAGTGGCCTGTCAGAAAATACTGGACAGTTTAAAAACCACATGGATCCTGCTTCACAAATATAACCAGTGGGATGCGCCAGGGATCACCACACATGATAAAATGTCAGTTTAACAGAACTGGAGTAAATAGACCATCTATCCCCCCCGAGCTGTAGTGCAACAGAACATGAAGTCAGACGTCTGTTCAGCAGTAATTAGCCTCCATTATCATCTTCCAGCTGTTAACACTTTATTTTCCCATGTTTACTCTTTTTGTTATCTACACTAAAGTTCCCCCTCCCTCCGGCAGCCATGCTGAGCCTAAGCTCTGTGACTCCACGAGTGTCTCACAGTGCTGGTGCTCCAAACCAGGGAGGAGGGCGAGAAGAGACAAACTCAAAACCACCCAGGGTGGGTGTGGAGATTTATGAGCTCACCTTGAGCGGGGCAACACACAGGACAGAGTTTTTCCTTCCCATTCGAAGCAAGTCTTAACCACAGACACGAGTGAGCCAGTCAATGTGTGCTGTGTTATCCTGAACCTTTGCAACGTAAGAAAAAAGCTTTTTGTTTGAGGGTCACTGATGGTGGAACTTTCCCCCTTTTAGAAGAACTCAGACCCCGTATCTGTGGCAAACTGGCCGGACTGGATGGAGCTGAGAAAGACTCGCCTACATACAGACAACACTGTATCAACACCGACAACACTACACTGTCCTCTGTATTATCGACAAAGATATCAGCCCTTTGTAAAACTCTGTCCCAGGAGCATGGAGGTAATCGTGAAAATATGAAAAATATGCATTTTAAGATTTTCTTCTGGGTGTGTCCAAAGTGTCTTCAATCCCTTTGTAAAATTTCTAAACACATTTCACTTTATTGTGAGAGACAAAACTGTCATTTATAACATCTTTTATAATCATTTATCATTAAAATAAAAATAACAAATCAAAAAATACTGTTACATGCGAATGTTCACCACATCTCTGTATGGATTCTGTGATGTGTGTACATGTAATTATAACTTTGCACAAATGTGTAGCGCAACATTTAGTGACATATTAAACAATCAGAGAGAATGAACTAAATTAGCTGCTGTTCGTTAAAAATGTTAATTTGAAGCACATGGAATAAACCTAATTACAGAGTCATTATGATAATGTGTGGGAGGAGTTTAACCAAGTGTAAATTACAGCATCAGAGAAGCAGTCCTGTCTGAGCAATTACACATCAAACATGTAAGAGCAGAGTTAGTGGTGCAAACAGATGTTTTACCAAACTTTGAAGTGTGCACACACGCATGTGCGATGTCCTAGAATAGAACTCGGATTCACAACGTTCGTCCTAAAATAGCCTTTGAGAAAATTCAACAATGGACTGAAGCAAACACAAGAGACTGACGGAGTTTTGACAAAAGCAGATTTATTGTTTTGCTGTGTGTGCGTGCAGTGTTACAGGGAGTGCTGCGAGTCCTGTTTTTCCATGTGTAAATGTTCAGGGCTGTACAAAGAGGAGGAGCTGGAAAAGGTAGTGGTGGGAGAACTTCAGTCAGCTGTGCCAAGAAGCACACTCGCGCCAAGTGAAAACTGCAAGGCACTTTTAGCCTCGCATGCCCACATGTAATATTATTAGCATTCATCACTCACTCACGCCAACTCCAAGTTCCTGCCACTTACACTTAAGATTGTTACCAAAAAGCCCACAGAGCACCTTCTTCCCCCAGGCTCACCCCTCCCTACACGTCCTGCTTTCCCTCTGACGGTTCAGACAGAGCTTCTTCCTGTGGGAACGACGACTGCTGATTTATGACCCTGGACACTTTGCTTCCACCCACTCCCACAGCTGGCAGGGTAAATACAGAGTCATATTATAAGCCAGTCATATTATGTGCCCAAATCACATTAACACAGCGCTGCACATGTCACAGTCACAACTGATCTGTGTCTCCACTGCACGTGAATGTAACCGTTGAGAACGTCATTACCACAGTGCTGGCTATTTCACACAGCGCAGACCCCTAACCCTGTGTTTGGGAGCTGGTTTTAGAGAATCAGAGGCTGGTGATGTTTGAGATTTTCCTTACTGTCAATACATTTAAAGAGACACTGTTGATTATAATTAATAATATGTTTTTTTCTGCATATATACATTTTATTCAACTCAGCGGCATATTCATAGACTGAAAAATTAAACAAAACTGAAAGAACCAAAATAGATAATGGGTGAAAATGTATCCTATTTAACTTATCTATTTGGATTTTGTTAAGGCTTTTCAGTAAAATTATCTGACAATATTTCCAAGAAGATTGTGCTTCAAATTTGGTGAATGGAATTCTAGCACTTTATTAGTTCTGTTACTTTGTAACAGTGACGTCATCATATTGCTTGTTTTGTCTAAAGAGTCAAAAAGACAATTGTGTAAGGAACACTTTATCCAAATTATCTGCAGGAGGTTGGATTTGGCGGCATGGCTCTGGTACCTCCCACCCTCTCATTGTCATACATGGAAAGCCTAAATAGAAGGAAGAGCAGAAGCAAGATACTGAACCAAGTATGTCTGTGAAGGTTCTCAGTCATCCAAGTCAGCGCAGACTAAGGAGCTTGGAAAGAAAAGCGTCTGGACTTCTTTAAGTTGCTTAAAGAGGTTTAACCTCTCATCAGGGTAGCTTCTTCAGTTCTAAGAGTCCCAGATTTAAGCCCTATGGGAGTGTCCCCCCCAAGAGGGACAATGGACCCCCCTAATGATCCTCTACATGAGCCAAGGTGTGAAAACAGGTGCAGGTCACAATCAGCCAAGGTTTCGGGTGAACTCACAGTGAGACCTAGCCCCACCCTATCATGTGATTTCCTGAGGTCAAATGGCCCAGGATGTGAGTGGGCGTTAAGACGTCTGGGAAGGGATCTCAAAACTGGATTATAGATGGCAGACAGTTGGGTGTCGTAAGCCACCGCCGCTATTCAAAGATGGCCGCTCACAGTGCACATAGATGGCTTCTTTTACTCCTCTTTCAAACCATCTGTCCTTTCTGTCCAAAATGTGACCGGGTACAAATGACATACATGATAAAGAGGAGCTGAGGTGGGTTGCAAAAACAGCTTTTGCAGTGGCAGCAGCAACTCAGATTGGCCAATAAGATACACAGATGGGTATGAACTGATGTGGACTGGCATTACCGTCAGACGATAGCTGACTGACCTTGACCTGTGACCTCCCAATACTAAGCTTATTAATTTATTAACACTCATTTATTTTACAACATAAAATAAACTGGGCAGGCTAATGGTGACTAGGGGCCAAACATGGCCATTCAGCCTCCCCGACACAAGATGAGGTTTAATAGTAGTGTTTAAAAATATTAACACTGGGCTTATATCAATAAACATAACCACATTAAATCCAGTCCTGCCTATATTCAAGGAAGTTAATAAATGAACCCATAATATATACTGTATATAAATATACTAAAGAGCCCATGATTGAATACTTGCTGACCCCTGCTGAATGTGTTTTAACGTATAGAATGTAATGCATGTTATTTATTTAGTTGTACATTTAAAGAAAGCTAAATGTTTGGGAATGGTTTTTTTTTTTTTTTAGCAGTTTCTTAGAGGTGGTAAGGAGGCCAGAACATCTCTAGAAACAGACCAAAATGTTGCCAGATTTGTTCTTTTCTTGTTACAGAGCAACACCAGACTGAAACGTCAGTGTTCAGATGCTGAAGGGTGAGTTTGTACCCTGCAACTGAGTGCAATTGGAGCACAAAATCACACACACACACACACACACACTTAAGACATTAAAAAAAAACTATTTAAATCTTTCCAAGACTTGACTCAATAACTTCTGTGCAAAATGAAGGTAAGAAAAGTTGCTTAGTAAAAGTTAGTAGTACCAAACATTTTAATAGCCCCGGCCCCCTCAGAAATATGTGCTTTTTAAGAATCATGTGAATTGGATTCATCTGCAGTTCAGAGTCCTGCTGGGTGCGCAGTCTGTGCTAAAAATGCATCTTCAACATCTACAAAAATATACAAAGAGAAGCCAATATCTTGCCTGATCTGTACAGAATGAGCAGCGCTTTTATGTGGCTGGAGTTATGGTTTCAATAAGTTGGTCTATGATGAATAACTGCAGACGAGCTCACTTCTAACCCTAATCACTCTGTATCCCGATCGCGATGAGGGTGGTGTTAATTTGTTCGGTGAAGCACAGACACAGGTGGTTTGAATCTTCTCGGGTGAAAATAAAACAAAGAAGGCCACAGACTTCTCTTTGAACACACTTTAAAGTCATTTCTCTTCTGCCATTGCTGTGGGTGTGCACTGTGCAGACGGGTGAGTGTGCTCAGTCCACCATCCACCTCAGGCACGTCCCCTTGATCTACTTGTTGGACCGGTCCCGCCGCGCCCTGTACTGAGGGATCAGTGGAGCCCTCCATTGTAGGACTTGCTGTACATGCTGAAATCTGTTTCCACAAAATGTGTAGAGATGGGGTGCTTGTACAGAGGGTTAGAGGCCTGAGGGGGAGAGAGATGAGACTTTTAATACCTGAAGGGCCCATTTTATTTGACTGGCTTGGTTTATCTCACCTACATAGAAGGTGCTGAGGTTTTTCAGCCTCAAACTATGAGCCTCAGTTTATTGCTAGTATACATGATGGGGCTGTAATACTCATGAGTTAGGCTCATCCTTACCATTTCATATCGGGCACGCGAGCGGGCGCTCTGGAAGCGGGCAAACTCACGCCGGTCGTGGATAGTGATGACCAGCTTCCAGGCAGCGAGCAGCAACAGTCCTACCAACAAGATGCTCCCAACCACTGCCACCAGCACCATCAGGGCATCTGGTCCCCTGACGCACTCTGAAGCAGGCACAGGAAACAACATTTAACACAAGCTCACTTAACTTAAGTCACAGCTCTTTGTTCCCCATCTTCAGCAAACATTGGTGAGGTGAAATGGACGGCATGGTGGCTGAACAGATCGGGCATAATGGCTTGGAACCAACAAGCCCCC